AAATCTACAGCATAAATGACCAATACATGAAACCCTAGCCGACAAAAGATCTTTTCTGCAACAAGCGAGCTAATCGACGCAAGAAATACCTCCTAAATCAACCAATTTCAGAGTTCATGACATAGAAGAACTCACCATACTATGGCGCCTATGCCCCCAGTGCTCGCAAAGAGGCCACCATTGCGCCGACCGACCGCGATCGGCGCGGCAGTCAGCGCTCGGCACCACCACCCCGCACAATCTTCACCGCCTCCACCGGCTACGTCGTCGTTGGTACCACCCGTCGCCTCCGTCGTCCCTCCCAGCGCCTTTCCGTCGTCTGAAATCCAGGGACGATGGCTTCGAAGGGAAGGGAGAGGAAGGGGTGAAGAGTGAGGGAATGGAAAGGATAGGAGGCTATTGGCAAAAAAAATGATTGGCAAAGGGGCCTCACGTGCTGCTCACATGACCTATGGATACGGTGGCTGCTGACATGTATTGCCACGTAGGATCTATTACCCAAACAGAGGGATATGGACCTAAATGGCACAGCTTAAAAAGTTTATGTACTCAAATCTGCACTTTCAAAGTTAATGGACCTGAATGACACTGCAAAAAAGTTGATAGACTTACGGTACATTTATCTCTAATAATAATAAGGGGAGCCAGATATAACACTTTTTTTTCCAAACGGAGTGAGCAGTATACAAAACGTACGGCTTTTCAGACGACGGACCAAAGCTAGAACGCAGGTCAACAAATAGGTGCAGAATAGAATTAGTGACGGCAAATAAACCCCGATGCAAAGAACTCTGCGACGATGGACATGTGCCAAAGATCGAGGATCGTTGGATCAATATAATAATTACACGTGTGCTAATAAAATAAACTGCCGCCAACTAACCATACGGTACTTAACTACTAGTGCCCGTGTTAGAGCTAACTCAAAAAGATCTGGCTTTGCTTGTTCAAATTCGGCGAGAGCTGGTTGGTAGAGAGAGCTGTAGCTTGTACCGGCGACTGAGGCTACCAGCTGGCAGCTCAACCACCATCACATTTTATTTTGTAATAAAAAAAAGCATGCGTACGTGCTGTTGTTGTTTTTTTATGACGTGTCCTCTATCACGCGTGGCGTACATACGTGTTCGTGTCGATCGTATGTACGTATACTACGGTGCCATCAGCTCTGTACCGCTACCACACGTATATAGAATATATATACGGCAAACGGACCCGTCACTTGCCGTGTATGTACATACGGCAAACGATCGTGTGGATAAACTCAACTAATCCATCCCAATCCGTATAGATTAGAGTGAAAAATGAACTAATTCTCTACCTTAATCTTTCTTTCTTTTTTAAATTTGATACGTGTGCATTGGATCGGAGGAGAGAGCTGAGCGTCCGCCTCTCACGTGCCTACACCTACACGTCGTGTTCTGGTGTTCCCTGCTTTCTCACCGCCTGTGCCGTCGTCTATCCTCAGTTCGTCACTTGCACAGCCAATGCAATGCAAGTCGCCAACGCCAAATAAAGCTACCATGCGCAGATTAGTGTTAGTGTTAAGCAGCTGGTGGCCGAGTGTGAGTCAGATTCCACACACTCCATCAATGCATCATGGTCGTCGTTCCGACTCTGCAGCAACTTGCTTTTAGACAGCTCCATGCTGGAGCCATTTTCAAAGGAGTCTTTTCGAAGCACTACGGTCATGCCAGTCTTGATAACTTCCTACAGGTTTTCTCATCACGATGTGTCACGCTATAGCCCGGCCTGTTTGGGACCGAGGTCTGCGGAAGCGGGCTGCGTATAAGGGGACCTCGGCGTTTTGCCCGCAATTTGCGTTTTGGCCGCTCCCCGCTCATCAGCCTGTTTTTCACGTAGTGCGCGGTCGTGCAAAGCAGACATTTCGGTGGGATTTTTTTTTACGTTTTCCGCTAAGGCCTCGTTCGCTTCATGGAGAATGAGCCCCGGAAGAATTCCTCCCGTAATATCGGCTAACCGAACAGAGCCTAAACCGCGCCGTCGACGCGGAACCATGGAACCAAATAGAGCCTATTATGAGACGTCACGATTATAAGTCAAGATGGATAGTATACAGGTGTGGATAAGGAGAGCTAAAAGGCAAGATAAGACCCCCTTGCTAGAAGAGTCGGTTCATGCCATTGCCATGGTCTTCAAGGTCTCACCCATAGTGATTATACCAGTAGTACATATCCCATCATTCTTGAAAGGCATGTGTAAGCTCATCAATCTCGCATATAGGATCGACGGTACACCGCAAAAGAGATCCACCAAGTCCGAGAGTGGGAAGGGGAGAGAGAGTCACCGCGTTGATTCCGCATCTGGTGACTAAATATATCTGACAGATATAGACCGACAAAATATATATGTTGACAGATTATGTAGCAATTTCCAAATATTTTGTATTTTGAGAGTAGATCGTAGTCGTAGCCAAAGAGGCCCAAAGTTTCAAAACATTAGAGCGTGCCAAGTTAAACGGCATTGCAGGCAATAATGTAACGTAATGAAGATGAGCACGCACGTTCAATTGGCAAGTCCGCGAGTGGGTATGTACGTACAATATGGGCGTGGCACATTTGCATGCATGTGGGGTATTTTCCTAGTTTCCGAGGGCTTAAAATATACTACTCGTCCTTTCCGATGCGGTCCAGCCAGCCGCTTTGCTTGCACGCACGAGGAGGAAGCCGCCATCTCTGAACTCTGAAGTCGGGACGACCCTGCTCCCGTGCCGTCCTGACCTGCTGCTGCTGCCGGCCTTGGCCTTTGCTTTGCACGGGATGCACGCTGCTCCTCTCCTCTCCTCCGCGCGCGCCCGTCGCCCGTGCCGTGCCGTGCGCCCCAGACACTGCCTGGATTTACCGGTCCCCGTCCTCGTGTCGGCCCCTCTGGCCCGTGCACTGTGCAGTGGCTGAGACCCGCCACCACTTGTCGCAGTCAAGCAGCCCAGCCGTCAGGCATATTTTCCCGCGACGACGACGATCCACGACGAAGGTGCGGTGCGGGCGTCATTTTCGTTTCGGCGCACGAATTCAACACACTTTTAGTAGAATCCCGATATACAATACGCCTAACCCAGTGGGAAGTGGCTACCATGGACTAGCGCATCACTAGCTAGTAGTAGAATAAGTAGCTTGAGCTCGCGAGACCTGCGGACTGCGGTTCAGCTCAGCATGCTTTACGACTCCATGCTTAGCATTATTTTACCGGAAACCAGATACCAGAACAGCCTATAAGAGCAGGCTCTGTTGGATACACACTAACTAAATTTTAGCGAGCTACGTTAGCCAGCTAAACTTTAGCAGAGGGACGTTTGATCCTCTGGCTAATTAAAAGACTTATCATGTTACCTCTCATTAATTTCATTGTTTAGCTAGCTAAATTTTACTTGGGGTGTTTGGATCCTTTACCTAAATTTTATTGGGAGTAGTTTGGCCACCGAGGCCTTTTAGCTTGAATTAGTTGGGTTGAAACAGCTAAAGAGATCGTAAACATGTATCCTCCGGTTAAAGTTTAGCTGGATTTAGCCGTAGACTGTTTAGATCCACTATAGCTAAATTTAGATCCGCCGCAGCTAAATTTAAGCTAGCTTAAGTTTAGCTTTTGGATCAAACCGAACTTTAGACTAGAAAGCGCCCGGATTCTTGTTCGCCGTAGGTGCACACAACCATAATCATTACGTGCTACTACTAGTATCTTGCTGTTTTAGCAAGTGACCTCTCCCTCCGACTTTAAAAATTCGTCGTTTCATTTTCGTATGTGTGGACTGTGGACTCTTTTATAATAAAAAAAAAGGCAGATGTGTGAATCCATTTGAGATGATCCACCAACCCGAGCCACCCTAAACTTTTGTACCAAAATACCAACATACCCTTTAACTTATAGTTTTATAAGTTGATTATGTTAAGTGATTCTCTAAAATAATTTAATACATTGGGGGCTGAAAATAACTAGTTTCTCTTGATTCACATTTAGCTACGGAATCACTTTTATCAAGTCCGTAGAAAAAATATATTGATAGCTATGATTCAAAATAAATGCAATATCAGGTTCGATAATATCATTTCATTGTTGTAATGTCGGTGTGTTTTCTATATGAATGTGGTCAACGTTAAGAGAAATTTAAGTTAAGACAAAACTAAAACGATATATATTTTTAAACCAGTAAATATAGTATTTGAGAAGTGGCATAATGTTCCATCCATTCCAAAATGTAGGCAATTTTAATTTTTTCTAAATTCAAATTCCTCTAACTTTGACTAGGTTTGTATGAAAATGCACCAACATCTACAACATTACGTTAGTTCCGTTAAATCCACCGATTTATTTCTTGATACTGCATTACTTGATTTTGCATATATTAATATATATTTTTCTAAAAACTTACTCAAAGTTAGTGAAATTTGACTTCGACCAAAACTAAACAGATCTACTGTTATAGTCAGGAAGGAAAATCAAGGCAAAGTTCGAATCATTTTGAAAACAGGGGAATGATATTTAGACCCCGTTCGCGTGCCCTTAAACCCTCCGTTTATTTTTTCATCCGGAACCATGTTTTTCTCTCACAAATTCCTTCAGCATTCCTCCAAACCATTTAGATTCCTCTAAAATTCAGACATGCGAACAGGCCCTTAGGGTGAAAAGTATTCAGTCTATACTGTTATAATCTACTGTTATATCTCAGGATGAAAATTGAAGATAAAAGGAAAAGTTTGAAATGGTCCGAGGTGCTTTCCACCAAATATTTTCTCTCCTTTAGATATCCCTCCAAATCTCGCATCATTTGTACACGTCTAAATGTCTAAATAAAATGAGATAAAGTATAAACCCGGAGAGCGAAATGCAAGAAAGGCCTTTGCAAAAGCGCCCCTCACCTCCCGGACCGCTTCCCCTGAGCTGAGCTGCTGCCTAACAAGAACTTCCACACCACTTGCCCACCCTCTCTCTCTCTCTCTTTTCTCTCTGGATTCTGCCGGCTCTCCCTCGAACTCATCGAATCCTACATGGAGAACGCCGAGGGACCGTCCCCGGACTCCGGCGATCACGCGGTGATATTCATTGGCCCTCCTTTGCCCTACTCCCCTGAGATTTCCCCCCTCCATTTCTCGTACAGTTTTTGGCTCATGCTTCTGCCAATTCCTTGCTTCGCGTGCGAAGACTACGCGGCACCGATTCCCACCTACTTGTTCTCATCTGCTTGGATTTAAATTGGAGCTTCAATTTTTACAGCTAAAACTCCAAAGATGCGACCTTTGCTGGTGAATTGTGGCCGAGCTGGGCGAATCTTTGTTCTGCTATTTTGCGCTTCGTTTTTTTTCCCCTTCTTCTATTTCTCTTTTTTGGCAAACTAGATTAGGACCGGAAGATCGAATATTTCCTGCTTTGCTTCATCAGGCAGTGTTCCCTCGGCAGTGACTAATTGCTCTTGTTTGCCTAACTTGACTTCCTGCCACTGTGTCACATGAGCTAAAATTGGACTAGATTCTATTTTGAGGCCCTTTACCTTTCTGACGAAACTGCTGTAGTGTATCACTTTTCTAAATTTCCATGTACTAAGTAACTCTGTGATTATGTCCACCACAAGTATAGTTGTAGAATTCAATTGCGTGCATGTTTAGCTCAACATGTTCGGACTAATGTAATACCAGAAATTCAAAAAAAAAACTAATGTAATACCAGGCCAGATCCAGCATCTGACCGCGTGAATTCTCTAGATTACTCCTTAAAAACTAGCATTTTAAATTTACGATATTTCCATGTGGTTGTGCCGTTGTCAAGCAATAGGAATTAGGAATACCAATAGAAGATTTAATGGCCATGTTTCAGTCGAGAATGAGAGGAGTGATATGAGCTCGATGAGGTGTCATGGGTAAATGAAGCCCCTCTTTCATGGAAGTAATGGGGACTCCTCTTCTCGTCTCACTCATTTACCAAGCTTTGTCTGGCTTATTTGACCATGGTTGCTGGATGTATTGTCTACTTGATTGTGTAGGCACTGGTTCAGGATGGCAATGCCCAAACTACACCTGGGCATAATTCGCGAAGGCCAAACCTTTCTTTGCAAATACCAGCTAGGACCTTGGATACCAGTATACTGACTTCGACAAGAGTTACTATATCCTCCAGCCCCAGTTCAACGAGAGTGGGTTTGCCACCGAGACCTAATTCAACGAGAACAAAATCATCTATCAAGAACATCAATCCTCAGAACAGTTTCAGAGCAAGGAGTTCAGCCCAGGAAGGTGATCGAGTGGTCCTTCTAAATCCTGGGACGTCATCTGAAGGGCAGCAGGATAACCCAACCACAGCAAGATCGTTTTCTTTTAGAAAGGTCATTAACTCATTATCGGCAAAAAGGACTCATTCTCTTCCAGTAACGCCTGTAGGAACTACTGACAAGGCTGCATCTCCTGCAAATCAATTAGATACCCTGCCAACTACATCTGTAAGTACATATATTTTTCTGATAAGCTGTGCCCATAAATAGTCTACTACCAGTGCATTAAGATGTTTTTTTACACTACTAACAGAATGAAGGAGTTGAAGCAAAAATTAGGCGCTCGCTTTCAGTACCAGGAAATCGCAAAAACAGAAGTTTGAGGAGGGCAGATTCAATAGGTGTCATCCGTGTGATTCCAACAACCCCACGACCTGTGCCAGTTGATGCAACCACATCGAACGATGTAATTGAAGAAACAATTGATGGTATAAACTCTTACAATCCTCTACTATGATAACTACACAAATTGAATCTTGCTTCAAAAAAGCACCATGTGCTCATCTGAGTACATTGTTGAGTTCTTTATAGTCCCTGAAGATGGAGGTGAAGATATTCCTGAAGAAGAGGCAGTCTGCAGAATTTGTTTTGTTGAGCTCAACGAAGGAGGGGAAACACTTAAAATGGAGTGCAGCTGCAAGGAGAACTTGCCCTTGCACACCAAGATTGTGCTGTCAAATGGTTTAGCATCAAGGGAAACAAGATATGTGATGTCTGCAAACAAGAAGTTCAGAATCTGCCAGTGACGTTACTGAGAATACCAACTCAAACTGCAAACAGGCGGGTAGCAAATGCTGCTCAGCAGAGAGCAGCTCAACAATACAGGTAAGATTAGCTTTGTCCAAAAAATAAAATAAGTCAAAGATAGTTGAGAGAGAGGGAGACGGAGAGGGTTCTATCATGCTACATTGATGGACCTATGATGTTTTTACTGCTATCATAATATGGAGATACAACTGTACAATTTGACTTCAGTTCCTAACAGATTTTGGGAGGACATTCCAATTATGGTGATGGTTAGCATGGTTGCGTACTTCTGTTTCTTGGAACAACTTCTGGTTTGTGTCCCTTGCTTACTTCATTTACTAGTGCATTTGAATGTTCAACTGTACTTCTCTTTCCGTTTCTTTTGTAACATTGTCTTTCATTGGAACAGGTTACTGATTTGCAGTCAGGTGCACTGGCAATTTCATTGCCTTTCTCATGTGTGTTAGGCCTCCTATCTTCAATGATAGCATCAACTATGGGTGATCAATTGTACCCTCATCATTTACCTTTCATGCTGTTATAATAAGCACTTGCAGTGTCAAAAAAAAACTAGTTATTTTATAGAGAAAGGTAGAAGTCATTTCAGTGTTTAGTAAGAGATTAGAGACTTAAGGTATAGTACTTCACCATTATCTGCCCCCATCTGTAACAAGTGCTAAGGAAACAGCGTACTTGATTTAAGTATTTGTGCAGATAACTAAAACTAAATTGCACCTGTTTTTTTTTTCTCTTAGGGTTGAATTTATGTTATTTGGTGAATTTCTCTTGTTACTTTAAAAGTGTAAAACCCATATTTTCTTTGCTCCAACAGTGTCGAAGAGCTATCTATGGGCCTATGCTTCATTCCAGTTTGCTATCGTTATCCTGTTTGCTCATATCTTCTACAATGTGGTACGAAACTCCTCTTGGGTGACATCTATTGCAGATAAGTATTTGTGTGATGCTGACTATTGACTTGTGATCACATGCAGTTGAGAGTGCATCCAGTCCTTGCAGTCTTACTCTCCTCATTCACTGGGTTCGGTATTGCTATTAGTACGAACTCTCTGCTAGTAGAGTATTTGAGGTGGAGAGCTAGGAGGAATCACCGTTTAGCTCAGCAGGCTGCCAATGCTGCACAGCATCAAGAATCTGAGAATGATGGTGCAAATGACAACAATGGCGCTCGGCAGCAAGGGCACGATGCAAATTCTGGGAACAATGCTGTATGATGATTCAGGTTTGTCAGCAGCAAATTTAAGTAGTGGTTTCTCTTCTTTTTTCTCGAGCAGTGCAAAAATTCCCATGATCTGTGCGAATGCATGCTAATATGCTCACCTCCTATCTTAATGTTATCTTTTTGCAGATTATGAAATGTTATGGGTGTGAACAGCTGTCTGTACAGTAAGTTTAGCTCATTCAACTCGGCACCAGTCACAAGAAGCTGAAACCTGGAAAAACATATATCTTCATATGCCACGTGGAGGGTGCTCACGGATATAGTTATTATACATCACGCAGAGATGAACCAAAACATGATATGTTTGTGTATTATTAGTCTACTAGTAGTTTGACACCAAATGTATGGGTTATTCATTTTAAGGTTAATAGATCTGATATTACAGAAGTAGTGTACATCGCTAAGCGTGTGCAGCATATAGTTGGGACTTGAGAGCATATCCCCATATATAGAATTATAGATATACGTAAATAAATGAAGTGTAGCTTTCTAGTATTGAGGTTTGCTAGTCAGCACGGAAGAAATATTCAGATTGAATTGTGATACAACTGTCTCAACTGAGAACCACAGAATTGATGCAATGCGAGCGATTGAAATACACTAGTGATGTTGGTTCCCTAGAAGATGCTTGTTCTGAAGGTTCTACTAGTAAAGCCATCTACTGGCAACATGTATGAATTTGGCAGACACTTGAACTTCTTCCAGCACAGATCTTACAAGGCACTTTGTTCAGCAGACCAGATGAGAAGTATTATCGCTTATCAATGAAAGTAATAAGCTCATCCAAATGCAGCTAAATCTCATTTGATTTATTTTATCCAAATCTCAGATTTGTAAGGATCAAATTGCCCAAACTCCAAACTTTTTCCTTCAATGTTGTGAGAGTTCTAATAAATTCAGCGAGATCAGACAAACATTATTATAGCATACAGTACATCTTGCTCTAGGAAATAAATTTGCAACTGATAGAATCAACTGCAGAACAATCCGATCCCTTCTAATTGGATAACGAAGTGGAGTGGTTGTGGATAACCTACTGATTGCAAAAGGCTTTCTTGATTTTTTTTATAAAGCTTCCCAATTGCGTGTGTTAGTGCGCTACGGATGCTGAAACTGCTCAACGACAACAGTTAGTACTACCTCCACAAACTGAGCATCGGTTACCCCATTCCATCGTCCTCTTCGGCGGCGCCGGCGCCCACGCCACCGAACCCTCTTCCAGCTTCCTTCCACCCAAGCACGCCAGCCACCCATAGCCCATCGTCGCCGTAGTCCTCCTCCTCCTCACCCCGTTGTACTGGGATTGGATTGGATCAGAGTGGACTGTGTCGGGTACTCGGGTTGGGTCCAGTCCTTTCGCTGGTAACGAAACTTGCTTGGATGGATTGGTTTAACTTGTTGCCAGCAATCAAATTCATTTTCCCACTCCTTTCTCTGCGTCAGTAGGTTGCGGTTGCGGAATCATCTCCTGCGCGGCACACACTGAGTCCTATCCGCCCCTGTTGCAGTCTTGCGGAAGGCAATGGTGGGGTTCGGATGGAGAGTCGGCTCAAAGTTGCAGAGATGGGGCTCGAGCTGCCTCCGGGGCTTCTCTTCTGCTGCAGTTCCGTCTCAGCTGGAGGTGACTATCCATCTATACTATCTTGAATTCTTTCTAGCAGCAACCAGCATCCACGAATCATGATGTCTAGATGGGTTTTCTGGCTGCACAGACTACTACTACTATAATTGCAACGTCTACCATGACTTAATTAAAAAAGGAAGAAGCTTGGAATTTTTTTTCTGACTCAATGTACCTAGTCCTTGTTTAAGGTAGACATGGACACCGCGATCTGCATTGCTGGCTTTCATGAGTTGCTGGTGCTTTTCAGAATGTTGGATTCATCGGACTTGGAAACATGGGCTCCCATATGGCAAGGAATTTGATCACCGCTGGATATAAAGTGACTGTTCATGATATGTAAGTTCCTGCCTATCCTTACATATACTGTTCATGATATGGGTCACAGAGTTCATTGCTTTTTTTTTTCTTCTGGTTCTTATTCGATAACATTGAATCTATCTATCAGAAATGAAAATTCCATGAAGAAATTCTCAGACGATGGAATCCCCACAAAACAATCTCCACTTGAAGTATCAGAGTCGAGTGATGTCATAATTACCATGCTTCCTTCATCTACTCATGTAAGTAGATTGTTTCTGTAACTCCCATTCTTGTCAATTCAATTCTTGATCCACCATTTGGATCATGACATCAGAAGTAGAAGGTAATTATCCTTCTGTGTAGCATGTTCTATATCCAACCATCTTTACAAATATTTAGCTTGTTTCCTGGAACTTTGATTTAGGATATTCAGAGATGCTTTTCAGGTTTTAGATGTATACAATGGACCCAATGGTTTACTTTGCGGGGGCGAACGCCTGGGACCATGGTTATACGTAGATTCATCAACAGTTGATCCACAAACATCAAGAAAGATATCGACAGACATCTCAAGATGCCATTTAAAAGAAAAGAAAGGTTAAGTTCCACCATATAACATTGGAGCCATAATCTACTATTTGCAATTGTCAATTAAAAACTTCAACTGAGTTTAAATGAATGCTGCAAAATTAATTATTTCTGTTACTGGCATCAATTAATACTACGTTCAGGTTACGCTGAAAGCCCTATGATTCTGGATGCTCCGGTGTCCGGAGGTGTTCCTGCTGCAGAAGCTGGCAAGCTAACTTTCATGGTATTATTCTTGGTTCTCGTCATAACTCTAGCTGTTCGGTCAGACTAAAAAACTATTACATTAATATAGAAGAAATTGATCTTTATTTTTTTGTTTCAAGCAATGATATACAGGTGGGTGGTCTTGAGGAAGCATATTTAGCAGCCAAGCCCTTACTTCTCGCAATGGGGAAAAAGGCAATCTACTGTGGTGGGGCTGGAAATGGCTCGGCAAGTTTTATTAACCTTCATTCTTCACCAAAAAAAATTGTGTGACGATGATTCTGACTCACTCTTGATATTGGGTATTTAAGGCTGCAAAGATATGTAACAACATGGCAATGGCAATCAGCATGCTTGGGGTCTCCGAGGCCTTGGCTCTTGGTCAGAACCTTGGGATCAAAGCAACCACTCTTACAGACATTTTCAACTGTTCAAGCGCTCGCTGCTGGAGTAGGTATTGTC